AGAAATGACACTTGGATTACTCGACAGACCCTACCATGTCCTTATCTGGAAGGATTCAATATTGTAAAGCTGTCAATTATCCCCAAATTACCCATAAATTTAACACATTCTCATTAAAATCCCATCGGGAGAAGATTTTAATCAGAAAAATGAGCCTATAGTTAAAATGGAAGAGAAAACATGTGAGGCTAGTCAAGTGCCTTTGGGAGGAAAGGGAGCGGTGATGGGACTGTGAGGATGTGATGTGACTAGAATAGTTCTGGCATAAATTNGAAGAGAAAACATGTGAGGCTAGTCAAGTGCCTTTGGGAGGAAAGGGAGCAGTGATGGGACTGTGAGGATGTGATGTGACTAGAATAGTTCTGGACTAAAATGTGAATATGCGCCAAAGCTACTTACAGAGAAGGGCGCAACAGGATATAAAGTTCAGAAACAGACACAATTATATAAAAACATTTCATATTTGACAAAAGGAGGTACTTCAAATTACTGGGAATGGTCTTGGGACACAAGCTCTAGAGTTATAAAAATAACTTTGTATCCCTTTCACATCACTTACTAGAATGAATTTTGGATGTCGAAAGTGTAAGACATAAAATGAAAAAATAAAATCATAAAATAAGTAGTAGAAAATATAGATTAGTATTTACATAGTTGAGATGGGGGAAATGATTTCAAGTGTCACAGCAAAGACAGAAGCCATAAGGTAAAAAGATTTATGGACTTGATTAGAAGAAATAAAAAAGTGAGTGTGTCAAAGCAGCATTAGTATTAGACACAAACATAAACAAGGAAAATCTTTGCAGTACATATGAAAAAGAGTTAATACTTGCGTTAACATGAGAAAAGCTCAGTCTCCTCATAGTCAAAGAAATGCAACTAAAACAGCAATAGAAATAGTGATTCACTTTTCACTCTAAAGATTTTTAAAGATGATAATAACTAAGGTTTGTTAGAGTTATTAGGCAATTGTTCAATCTGTCTAGCTGATAGTTTGACAATATTCATAAAAGTGTTGAAAATATACACATGCATATTTGGTCCACTCAAGGAAATAGCTCTGCAAGGACATATCTCAAAACTTTGCCTTTAATAGTGAAAACCTGGAAACAACCTAAAGGGCCCAGAGGGAGGGGCTGATTAAGGAAATCTTGATGCAGCTATAAAATGATACAGCCACACAAGCAATGAAGCCGGTGCATTTATTTAATAGGGAATTGAAGAAAAGCTAGGCTGGGGTGGGAGGAGGAGTGGGAGAACAGGAGGGTTCTGGGGTGTGAAGGGTGGAAGAACACAATGCCATAAATCGGACACAAAGTAAAAACGTGGGAGCCTGTGTCTGCAGGGATGCCGGGGAGCAGGCCCACCTTCCTTCACTTCCTATGTTTGCTAATGAGTCTGCTAAGGAGGCTATTAAAATCATCCATCACTAATTAGTCTCCACTCTCCTCTCCAAGGCCTAGTTTCCTTCTGTCTAAAGAACCAAACAGAAAGTAATTTTTTTTGCTGGCCCTCCCTTCCCTCTGGCCTTATTAGCAGAGATGCCAAAGACAATCAGCAAACCCCCAGTCTCCCCCAGGCCCTAGACAGATTATCCTGAACTCTCATCTGGGAGCTAATTAAAGGATTCTGTTTGTGCAACTTGCAAGGACTTCATTCCCCAATCCTGGCCCCGACTGTTTCTGTGGGAAACTTTCAGAATGGTTGCTGGATGCGTGTGCCTCCTGAGGCCCCGCGGAGCCGGGAAGTTAGCAAGTTTATCACTTAGTAGTCTCTTGTCTAACAGACCAAAAGATACTGAGGCATTTGGGGGGCCATGAGATTAATCATGGGGGAGGAGCAGAGCAGCAGCTTCCACAGGTCTAAATTCTTCATTAGCTTATTTAAGGGAAGTGAGGGCCAGTGTGGTTCAAAGGGCATAACACTAGCTGGAAAGGCTGGAGTTTGGGTGGGCGGCTGGGGGGTAAATTCATGGTCTGGTCTTTATTGGAGAGAGAGCGCAAACTCCAGAATATGCATCTCCTACTTGAAATCCAATGTAATTGAACATCTGCGTTATACTTGTCGACTCATTAATTCTGTATTTCAATTCCTTTAATCCTCAGAATAATCATTTGAAAGGCATATTATGATTCCATTTCACAGATGAGAAAACCGGGGCCCGCAGAGAGGGAAGGACATGCCCAGCGTTGCACAGCTGGCCAACAGCAGTGTAGCCCAAGGGCAGGTCTACCAGCTCTTCAGTCCAGAGCTATCTTCACCCAGCCACAGCTTGTGGCTGACACTCAATTGTGCAGTATTCGAAGGAGAACATAGATTTCAAAGCGCTTTGTAAATACTGGTATGTGCTAATAGAGTAATTAGAGAAACTGTACTTTGGGTATAATTCTCGTGAGTCCTAAGAGTGCCTTTCTCTGTGCTGAGCGGATGTGGGGGAAGGAGCGTTGCTGAGCCGCGTGGGAGGGCATCGCCAGGCAGACATACGCAGAATTGGCAGATGGAGCCCGAGTGTCCTTAAGGGTTCACAGGTGTGTTGAGGGGATCACTTTGTAAGTTATGTGATTGTCTAACCGCTATGCTGTATACCTGAAATGAATATAATATTGAATGTCAACTGTAATTGAAAAATTAAACTAAATTTTATTAAATGTTCACAGGTGTGTTGAGGACTAACATCGGAAACTTTTTTTTTTTTTTGGATATGAGTTGTCTGAAGTCAGGTGGCTGGACCAAAATATTACTAGGAGTTTCTTTTAGTGCCAGGAGGCTATGAACCTATGTTTGTGGCACAGGGAATTGTGAAAAGTCTACATCAGTTCCCACCAAAATTAATCACTGCCTTTAATTGGAATTATACAAAAAGACTCAAAATTAAGCAGCAGTGTAAAGATATTATGGGGAGAGGTGTTGCTGGTGGTGTAGGATGAGGGTTGGTGCGGGAGAGTGAAATGTGAATTTTCAGGGCCAGGAAAGTGAGGAGGGGGAATGGGTCCAGGGGGACAATTTTCTTAGGTGGCTCAGTTTGGGTCTTAATTCAGCAGAGAAAGCATGGTCAAGATGACTGACCATGACTCCCCAGCGTCTGACTCTAGATCAAGTGAACCCAGTGGCCTCCTATTGGACGGACAGGACAACTTACTATTTGTCTTGAAGATGAAGATGTCAGAGGACACTTTGAAGGCCAGAGAGAAAACTCTATAGTCAAATCACCTTACTCCCACCCTCCATATTTTCACCATTAGCACTTTTTAAAATTTATTCTTCGTTTTTCAAGTTACAGAATTCAGTGAAAATTTTCAAGTAAGAGTAAATGGAGTAGAAACCAAAATTCCCTCTCCATTTCCCACCACTCTTCCCAGTCCCATTCCCTTCCAGAGTGGAATCACCATCCACAGCTTCGGCGTTGTTCTCGGGACTTTTTCACCCCATATAAATACACGTCACATTATCATCACTTTCTAAATGGAGCAATACGTGCTAGTCACCTCTTCGTGTCAATATTTAAATTCTTCTTTAAAACAGAAATATGCCTTTTATTAAAGCTATTTACATGAAACATGAATTACTCATATTTGCATAGCAGAGTTAAAAACCATCCACATCAGAGCATGAACTGAAGAAAGGCAAACACTTTGTTGTGACTTAGGAGCACTCGTTTATTACCATTATCTCACCTCTGTAATGTGCTCCACGTGAACGGATCCCAGTGTTTGGAGGTTGCAGGATTTACACCCTGGTGCTCTCTGCTCAAACTTTGGTAACTAAATACTCTCTAATTCTTTGCAAGAAGGAGACATGCCTTTGGCTTCAGCTTTAGGCAGCCTTAAGGGTTCCATGCCTCCTTCCTCAAGCAATTCATAAGCCTGTTGAGTAAGGTCGCTCTTCTCAGACTTCCAACTTCTTGCCCAGGAAGTGCCTGAAATGGTTCACAGAAAAAATTCTAGAAATGGCCACAATAGCATGTGAAATCTCTGGACTGCCTTAGCTTCACCCTTTTGATTTCTAGTATTTATTCATTGGTAAATTTCCTTTCTTAACAGTCTCCCACCCTTACTAATCATCTGTACATACATATTAAACAGACTGCCCAATATAAACCAGTGTATTTTCCGCTAAAACTAAACCCAAAACTTACTATTCTGAATGCTTCTTCTCCTGAAATTTAAGATGATACAGCCTTGCGTTTTTGGTGGAAGGGTTGTGAGAGTCAGCACATGAAGCGAAGTGAAAATGTGTTGTCCCCACTGATGATCAGGCAGGATAGGGACACTGGTTTGGGTAACAGGTATTTGATATCATTGCTCTGAAGACAGGTCCCAACACCCTGCTCCTAGGACATGTTAAACCTCAATTTAATTTCACAATCTTAGGTTTCTTTTTTTTTTTTTAATTGATTTTAGAGAGAGGAAGGAAGAGAGAGAGAGAAATATCGATGTGAGAGAGAAACATCGATCAGCTGCCTCCCACACATACCCTGACCAGGGACTGAACCCACAACCTGGGTATGTGCCCTGACCAGGAATCGATCCTACAACTTTTCGGTGCACAGGACAACACTCCAGCCAACTGTGCCACACCAGCCAGGGCCCAGGTTTATTTTCTGAAGAACAATCTTTAAAAACCAGACCCCATGCTCTGGTACAAATATGCTTCATCTTAAAGGCAGGGTAAGGGAGCAAACATTTTGTTTTTATTAAGATTTTCAATATATTTCCATTGAACAGTCGTTAAATTTAAAAAATACAACCTAGCTGATTTGTGTCCCGTTTCCTGACCCACATTATAATTTCCCCCATCTGTCTTGAATCCAGCAACTTAGATACGCTTTTCCCTAGGCGCTAGCCTTTCCCTCCAGTCCAAGGCAAACCGCATCCTCCCTGGCCCGTGGTAACTACCTTCCTCGCATCCCTCAAGCCACCCTGGCAACTCCCCCTGCCCACACGGGGCCTTCAGCATCAGAAAGTGTTGGGCGGGTGCTCGAGGGGCGTCCTGAGGCCTTCTCATTCGGGGGGCCTCTTTCCTGTCAGCACCCTCTTCAGGGCGCCCTGCACGTCAGGGTTCCGGAGGCTGTAGATGACGGGGTTCAGCATGGGGCTGATGACAGTGTTGAAGATGCCGATCCCCTTGTCTTTGTCCGAGGCCGAGACCGAGCCCAGCCGCATGTAGCTGAAGAAGCCGGTTCCGTAAAAGATACAGACGACGGTGAGGTGGGAGCCGCACGTGGACAAGGCCTTCCTCCTGCCCGCCGCCGAGCCGATGCGCAGCACGGCAGCCCCGACGTGCGCATAGGACACCGAGATCAGGAGCATGGGGATCGCCCCCATGAAGGTGGCCCCCACGAAAAGCAGCTGCCCGTTGAGGCGAACGCTAGAGCAGGAGAGCTGGAAGAGGGGTGGGAGGTCGCAGTAGAAGTGGTTGACCACATTGGGGCCGCAGAAGTCCAGCGTGGACACAGCCACTGTGTGCGTCAGGGCGTTGGCGAGGGAGATGGTGCCGCAGGTGCACAGCAGGCCCCCCTGCACCGCACGGCTCATGCGGGCGCTGTAGGTGAGGGGCTGGCAGATGGCCAGGTAGCGGTCATAGGCCATGGCTGTGAGCAGGTGGCAGTCCACCCCGGCCAGGAGGTGGAAGAAGAAGAGCTGTGCAATGCAGGCCGCATAGGGAACTGCGCACTGGTGGGCCAGGAGACATGCCAGCATTGGAGGGACAGTGACAGTGATGCATCCAATGTCCAGCAGAGACAGGCTCCCCAGGAAGTAGTACATGGGGGTGTGGAGTTTGGGCTCCACAAAGATGGCAGCCAGGATGCTGACGTTGCCCCCGACTGTGACTGCGTAGGCAAAGAGGAAGACCGCAAAAAAGATGGGCTGCAGGTTTATGTTCTCTGTTAGGCCAAGAAGGATGAACACAGTGACAGTTGTCCTGTTCCCCCAGGCACCTGGCTCCATAGGCCCTGCTGAGGGCTGTAGTGGGAGGAGGAGACTTGAATCTGCCAAAGGGGGAGAGAGGCACACAGTGAACTCAATCCATGCCTACGGGATGCTAAGGTTATGTGCCATGAGCACCCACCAATGGGAATAGATGCCAGCCTGGAGCTTAGCAGGCTCCTGGAGGCCCCTCCCATGCCAGGCGTGAACCCTTTAGTTGCTGGTTCAGGCTGAGATCCAGGGGATCCCAGGGAAGGGACTGGAGGAGAGAGAGCTGCTCTGGGGAGCCAGGACCATGGTTGTTTACCAATATGATATGATTTAGCATTTTAACAACTAAGGTCATTATCAGTGTATAGCGACTGAACAGCCGCTCAGTGAGTAAATGATGTATGAGCTTCTAGAAAGTACAACATAGGAGAGTTGCAGCATAGAAAAAGGTAGGACAAGAGCTCGTGAACTAAAAATGAGACATGAGAAAGAGCAATAGCTGATTTTTAAAAAGCAAGTTGCAGGAACCTTAACATATTTTCAGACCCAATCACAAGCACTGTATTTCCACTGTGAAAGGCTGTGCTAACTAAGACTCCTTTAATATGCCAAAAAAAAAAAAAGTGATACAAAGAAGAGTGAGCCAAGAAAAGAGCAAGGAGCAGAACAAAGTAAAAGAGACTCACAGAGGCTAACGATGGAAGACACGAAGGCAATTTGACAAAGGACAAAGGACTGGCACCATGTTAAAAGTATAAACTATGAGCCCTGTGCTCAGCACTCCATATTTACATTCCCACCTAATTCTTACAGAACTCTGTAGGGTAGCCACTCTCATGTCTTTGTAATCAGGACCCTGAGGTTGGAAGGGGTGACAAGTAGCCCAAGGTTGTAAAGCTCGTGGCCGAGCTCCAACTCAGGACTGTCTGATGCCCGGAGCCTACTCCTTGAGACAGTCATCTCTTCCTCACAGCTCTTATCTTCCTGTCTCAGAGCTGGAGAGAAGATAAGTTTCTCCCCATGTCAGTCTGTCCCCTGCACCCAATCTCTCGCTAATGCTGGGAAGCCCAGCAAAGTGTAGCATTTGGGGTCAGGAGGAGTAATAAGAGAGCGTTTCCTGGAGGTGGTGGAATCAGAGTGACAGCCAGTGACGGGTAACATTTATCGAGCACTTTCTATCCAAGTTACTCCTTCAACCTACACACAGATCGTATAAGGTAGTTAATACCAACTGAGACCTAATTAGATCCTACTATGTGTCAAGAACCATTCTAAGTATTTTACAGGTATCATCTTCTTTAATTCTCAAACAATCCTATGAAGTAGATACTATTATACTATTGTAGCCCCCATTTTACAAATAGGAAACGNTCATATGAAGTAGATACTATTATACTATTGTAGCCCCCCTTTCACAAATAGGAAACAGAGGCACAAAGAGGTAAGGTAACAGGCAGCTAGAGAGTGGCAGAGCCGGAATTCAAACCAGGCAGTCCGGTGTCAAAGTCAATGCTCTTAAATGCTTTCATCCTTTGAAAGAGCGTGAATGGATGATTTGTGCAGCTATTGAGTGGTGGAGCTAGCGTTTAAGCTCAGGAGTGTGTTCAAAGGCAGCAGGGAGGTTCATCAGGAGCACCCCAAACCCTGCCACCTCTGCGACAGCCAGTTTGTTGATACAGTTTATTTGCTCTGGTGGAAGGCAGGGGTATTTGTAGGAAGCCCTCGTCAATGTAGGAAATGGATTCTCCTAGTTTAGCATTAAGGCGAGCCCAGTTTGGGTTTGAAACCATAGAATGACACAGAACAGTGTCGCATAACAGTGTCACACGGCACAGTGCCAAGAGTTCAGCCTTGCTTTGAGCAGCAGCTACATCTCTCCATTCCTTTGTCCACTCCCCGCTTCTGCAGTCACCTCCTACCCTGTCTGTCCACACAAAGTTCAGCTGACCCACGGTCCTCTGGTCCAATTTTCCCTTTTCTCCACAAAGCTCTCCCCGTCTCTTACTCAAAAAGGAAGGAAATGAGGAGGCCTGGAGAGATGGGAAGGTGCCCGGGGCCTTACCTTTCTGGGAGCACTCTGGGTAGAGTTCCTGGGTGGGGTTTCTTGTAAACAGGGGAGTGAGTGTGTGCTGACCCAAGGTGGCCTGTCTCCAAAGGGCTTATGAAGGCAGTGAGGCAGGGGCCTAGAGAGTCTGTCCTGATGCTTTCTCCATCTGGGATCTAACAAGCACCTAGAGGTCTTAAAAATTGCCCCGTCCCCCAGGGATTGTACAAGAAGCCCAAGGCAGACGAACCACCTCATTCCTTAAGGGTTTCTTTCACCTGCCTGGTGTTTTGCACTCTATTGAATAAACATTCAATTCGTGACATCATTCTAGGCTCTTAATGTCTCTGAGAAAGGAAGAAAGATGTAGTCACCATATTACAGATGGTAAAAATAAGATCCAAAGGGTTTATATGACTTGCCAAAGCCAGAGAGGGGGTCCATGGTGGAGCTCAGGCTGGGGCCCAGATAAGCTGATTTTGGTACTTTTTTTCTCATTATTTTCTCATGTTTGGTTTTTTAATCTTTTTTTTTTTTTTTGCTTGCCCAGCCAGGCATGGCTCAATGGTTGAGTATTGACCTAGGATCCAGGAGATCGAGGTTCAATTCCCGGTCAGGGCACATGCCTGGGTTGCGGGCTCCATCCCCAGTCAGGGGCATGCAGGAGGCAGCCGATCAATGACTCTCTCATCATTGATGCTTCTGTCTCTCTCCCTCTCCCTTCCTCTCACTGGAATCAATAAAGACATATTTTTTAAAATAAAAAAATAAAGTATATCTTTTAAAAATTGGGCTAACTAAGGTTTATAATTTTATTTGTCACCTCCTCTTGATTACTACATCCAAGACTTTGTCTAATGCAAGGTCACAGGATGTTTCTCCTATTTTTTGTAGAAATTATATTAGTTTTAGGGAGGGGTTGGGGTGTGGAAAAGCACAAAAGAAAACTGAGGTTCAAACACTAGAGACCACAGCCGAACACCAATTTCAGGACCAGAGGCCAATTTCAGAATAAGAAAGTTCAGAGTTATGCAGAAATGTGATCAGAGAGAATGTTTTCCAGATCTTTTTTTAAAATCCTCACCCAAGGATATGTACTTATTGATTTTAGAGAGATGAAGGGAGGGAGAGAGGAGCCATCAATGTGAGAGAGAAACATCGATCGCTTGGCTCCCTCACGGGCCCGGACTGGGGATGGAACCCGAAACCTGGGTATGTGTCCTGACCGGGAATTGAACCTGAGACCCTTCAGTGCACAGGACGACGCCCAGCTAACTAAGCCACACCAGCCGGGGCATGACTATATATTAATAACTAACATTGTTATAGCACTTTGACACACTGACTGGATTCTCTGAGGACAGAGACTGAGTTTTTCTCTGTGCCCCATTGTCCAGCACAGTGCTGGACATTGACTATGACTTGAATAAACATTTGTTAGGTGAACAAATAAGTTTTTAAAACTTTTACGTACAATTCTTAATTTAAATCTTATATGAATATTGCAAGATAATCAGGCCTGGTTTTCAATGCTTGAAGGTTCTGTAGGTAAGTGATTGTTTAACTTTGGGGCTTTATAATAATCTGTGCATAACTATCATTGTAATTAATATATATTTATTATAACTTGTGTGTATTATAAGTTCCTTGAGAACAGGTGTTAAACCAGTACAAGTAGACATTTTTGACAATTGAACAAATCAATTATTAACATAATGATTTGTTAACAAAAGAAACGATTGAGAGGTCAGAGAAAGACAAATACCATATGATCTCACTAGTATGTGGAACCTAATAAACAAAATAAACCAATGAGCAAAATGGAACTAGAAGCATGGATACATGGAACAGGCTGGCCAGTGCCCAAGGGGAGGGGGGTGGTGACTGGATAAAGTGAGGGATTAGCTAAACAACTTACGGGCATACCCCACGGNGGGGAGACAGGGTGAAAGAAAGTGAAGAGAGTAGCCAAAGGAAATACGTGCATAGCCTACAGTGACAGACAACAGTGTGGTGATGACCACAGGGAAGGGGGAGCAAGGGCTGGGGGGAGGTGGGCAAAGGGGGAGACACTTGACACAATGTCAACATTAAAACTTTTTAATAAAAATAAAATTTTACAAAAGAGAAATGACTGGGAAGTGACAATTACCAAGAATTCAGCACTTACTTACTATATTCTAATATCATACTTCTCTCTCTCCCTTCCTCACCACAATCAATTAAAAAAATAAAACCCACGTAATTCTAGAGATTTTTTCATTGGCTCTTGCCTCTAGATTTAGTCTTTCAATCCAGGGAATACATAATAATAATAATGCTAATAATTATTATCATACTAACAACAACAATAATAACTCACAAAGCAGACACACGACTGTGGCCAGTGACGGTCCGATCCCCAGGCGTGGAGGGAGCGCACCTCCGCATTGTGCTGGTGGCCTTGGAGGGCCTTGAAGCCGGGAGGGGCTGAGTGGCCTTGTTTTGAATTTTCTCCCCTCTGCTCCAGCGTTTGTGAACGTCCCCCCTCGCCCTGTAAGCTCCTCAGTGGTGGGCCTGGGGACCCCGAGGTTTGGCAAAGCTATCGGTGCCACCCACCCAGGTGCTACTTCCCAGCCCCCTTTCCTCCTCCCCCC